AATTTTGTCATCACGTTTGTCGCCTATATGTTGTTGCTGAAAGTACTTGGTGACAAAAAATAGTTTCGTCGCATATTTTTCATTTTTGGCAACGAAATTTTTCATCTCCAAATGTTGCATTTTTCGTCCTCTACAAAATCAATTTCGTCACTAGAATTAGATAATATTTTATTTTAATTGTTTTGGCGACAAAATATTTCGTCACCAAATAGGTTTTAGTGACGAAATTTTTCTTCACTAATGATATAGATTAAGGTGACAAAAAAATTCGTCACTAAAATGAGTACAAAAGAAAGTTCTTCAACAACAAAAAACATTTTGTCACCAAATATTTCAATTTAGCGACGAAATATTCAGCAAATGTGACGAAATTATTTGTTTGGTACTATATCATTAGTGACAAAATTATTCGTCATGTTGTTTGAAAACTAATAGCGACATTTTTTTTCGTCGCTAATAATAATTAATTTTTTTTAAAATTGGGGTACTATTTTCAATTTAAAATTTTATTTTCACTAAAAATTCCCTGCACATTTCAATAACCTGTTCAATAAAATATCTATTACAAATCAATACAAAAATTTGTTCATTTTCATAAATACCATAATCGAATTTTAGCACAATATCCACAAAAAAACAATATCAACTGCATGTGGATTACCAAAAATGTCTCCTAACATCCACAAAAACACATGTCTACTAATATCCACAAAAATACAATATCAACCGCATGCGGATTACCAAACTCGTCTCCTAATATCTACAAAAAACATGTCTACTAATATTGACAAAAATATAATATCAAGTGCGGATGACCAAACATGTCCTGTAATACCCACAAAAATATAAAATTTACAATGCAACCAAAATACATGTAAGGTAAAATGAACAAAAACACAAAATGAGCTAGTTTCTTCTCTCCAGATTACCAAACATGTCCATATCTAATCTCGAATCTGCAACAAAACAAAACACAAAAAAAGAAAAGAGAAAAAAAGAATGCAAGTTAGACGATTATTATCTTATCAATTAAATATACAATTTAACATGTATTTTTGGACTTAGTTTTCAAACCGGGAGTCTCGTGCTAATTCCATAAGTTTCAACAAGTTACAATAGTCGCTTCCGAGGTGTTTGAGGTGTTCATTGGGCCTTCTCGTGGTTATTTAACGATTTTGGCCCCTAATGGCTTATTTTCAAGCTTAAGTGTGAGAAAAGTGCATTTTTTTACTTAGTTTTCAAACCGGAAGTCCCGTGCTAGTTCCGTAAATTTCCACAACTTACATTGGTTCCTCCCGAGGTGTTTGAGGTGTTCTCCAGGCCTTCTCGTGATTGTTATACGATTTTGGCATTTGAGGAACCAATGTATGTTTCCCTCCCAAGGTGTTTGAGGTGTTCCCCGGGTCTTCTCGTGATTGTTACACAATTTTGGCTCCATATGGCATATTTTCAAGCTTAAGTGTGAGAAAAGTACATTTTTCGACTTAGTTTTCAAACCGCGAGTCCCGTGCTAGTTCTGTAAGTTTTTACAACTTACATTGGTCCCTCCTGAGGTGTGTGAGGGGTTCCCTAGGCCTTCTCGTGATTGTTACACGATTTTGGCCCTCGATGGCCTATTTTCAAGTTTATGTGTGAGAAAAGTAAATTTTTTGAGTTAGTTTTCAAACCGGGAGTCCCGTGCTAGTTCCGTAAGTTTTTACAACTTACATTGGTCCCTCTTGAGGTGTGTGAGGGGTTCCCCAGGCCTTCTCGTGACTGTTACACGATTTTGGCCCTCGATGGCCTATTTTCAAGTTTATGTGTGAGAAGAGTAAATTTTTTGAGTTAGTTTTCAAACCGGGAGTCCCGTGCTAGTTCCGTAAGTTTTCAATATTTACATTGGTCCCTCCCAAGGTGTTTGAAATGTTCCTCGAGCCTTTTCATGACTGTTACACGATTTTGACCTCTGATGGCCTATTTTCAAGTTTAAGTGTAGAAAAAATGTATTTTTCGACTTAGTTTTCAAACTGGGAGTCCCGTACTAGTTCTGTAAGTTTTCACAACGTACATTGGTCCCTCCCGAGGTGTTTGAGGTGTTTCCCAGGCCTTCTCGTGATTGTTAGACAATTTTGACCTCATATAGCATATTTTCAAGCTTAAAAGTGTGAGAAAAGTGCATTTTTCGACTTAGTTTTCAATTCACGAGTCCCGTGCTAGTTCCGTAAGTTTTCACAGCTTACATTGGTTCCTCCCAAGGTGCTTGAGGGGTTCCCCGGAACTTCTCGTGACTGTTACAGGATTTTGGCCCTCGATGGCCTATTTTCAAGTTTATGTGTGAGAAAAGTGCATTTTTTGACTTAGTTTTCAAACCGGGAGTCCTGTGCTAGTTCCATAAGCTTCCACAACTTACATTAGTCCCTCCCGAGGTGTTTGAGGTGTTCCATGGGCCGTCTCATGACTGTTACACAATTTTGGCCCCCGATGGCCTATTTTCAAACTTAAGTGTAAGAAAAATGCATTTTTCGACTTAATTTTCAAACTGGGAGTCCCCTGCTAGTTCTGTAAGTTTTCAAAATTTACATTGGTCCCTCTCGAGGTGTTTGAGGAGTTTGCCGGGCCTTCTCGTGACTGTTACACGATTTTGGTCATCGATAGCCTATTTTCAAGCTTGTGCGTGAGAAAAGTGCATTTTTCGACTTAGTTTTTGAACCAGGAGTCCCGTGTTAGTTTCGTAAGTTTACACAACTTAAACTGGTCCCCCCTGAGGTGTTTGAGGTGTTTCCCGGGGCTTCTCGTGACTGTAACAGGATTTTGGCCCCAGTGGCCTATTTTCAAGCTAAAGTGTGAGAAAAATGTATTTTTCGACTTAGTTTTCAAACCGGGAGTCCCGTGTTAGTTTCATAAGTTTCCACAACTTACATTGGTCCCTCCTGAGGTATTTGAGGTGTTCCCCAGGCCTTTTCGTGACTGTTACATAATTTTGGCCCCCGATGGCCTATTTTCAAGCTTAAGTGTGAAAAAAATGCATTTTTTGACTTAATAATTTTCAAACCGGGAGTTTCGTGCTAATTCTGTAAGTTTCCATAACTTACATTGGTCCCTCCCGAGGTGTTTGATGTGTTCCCTGGGTCGTCTTGTAGCTGTTACACGATTTTGGCCCCCAATGGCCAATTTTCAAGCTTATGGCCTCATTTGGGAACATCATTTTTTAGTAACTTTTTGACTTTTTGGTTAAAATGTAATGTAAAAAAAAGTAGTATGTTTGGGATGACTTTTGACTTTTTACGAAAAGATGTGCAAAAAGTAGAGAGAAAATGGAATCTTTGACTTTTTGATATGGGTTGTTGGCTTTTTGATTTTTTTAGTAACTTTTTGACTTTTTGGCTAAAAATGGCACTTGCCAAACGAGGTCTAAGTGTTCAAACAATGCATTTTTCGACTTAATTTTCAAACTGGGAGTCCCGTGCTAGTTCCATAAGTTTTTACAACTTACATTGGCCCCTCCCGAGGTTTTTGAGGTATTCCCCGGGCCTTCTCGTGGCTGTTACACGATTTTGGCCCCTGATGGCTTATTTTCAAGCTTAAGTGTTGGAAAAATGCATTTTTTGAATTAGTTTTCAAACCGAGAGTCTCGTGCTAGTTCCGCAAGTTTTCACAACTTACATTGGTCCCTCCCAAGATGTTTGAGGCATTCCCCATGCCTTCTCGTGTCTGTTACACGATTTTGTGGCATACTAACTTTCAGGATTGTGGGTGACACATTAAACTCTAAAAGGTGACACGAACAGATGAAAGGAAATATCTAATTTCAATAGAGAAACAAACTACTCTAAGCCCAAATGAGGAAAAATGTGAAACATGTCAAGCCTTTTGAGTATAACCAAAAGTCTTGGTACATGCTTTGCAACCTCTATAAGAATATGGTGTTAGCTTGATGAGGGGTTAAATATTTTTTAATTAATTACTCATTTTATTTCAATTTCCACAGACAAAAAAAGTTAGGCATCAAGCACTTGAATTTAGTAGAAATTAGTTGTTAGAGCATCTCCAACAGGAGAGATATTTAGAGCATTTTAGACATTTTGTCTAGTCTCAACACAAGAATGGAGTCTCTACCTCATCCTCCTATGTTGGCTACATGTAGGCAACCTTGGAGGCTAGACAACATAATCTCAGGAGTAAAAAAGTGTTGTTGAAATACAAACTAGGCAAAAATACAAAATTCACTTTTATATATTTTTGCTACACAAAATGTGCCTATTAGGTGTTAGAGGTGCTCTTAGAGTTGCTATAAAGTTTATATTTACCCAAAGTATACACTAATACAAATTTCAGTTTCTTAATATTATTTCCCTTAATTTTCAATGTTGTATATATTCCTCCTAAGAAGCATATGTTTTTTTCCAAAAATCAGGATACGAATACACCATTGATACAACAAAGAAATATGTTGTTTTTTTTTTTTTTTTTTAATTTTTTTTACACATATTTTCATTTTCTATGTGTATGAATATAACATCCACAAACCACCAAAAATAATGATTTTTTTTTTATGGGAATTTGGACTATTCAGTATGCTTGCTAGTTTATTCATAGTTTATAAATACAACCAGTTCAATATTGAGGATCCGGAAGAAGAAGATGAAGAATAAGTTTTCAGAGATTGCTTCCTTACTCTTCTCTTTTTCTATTAGAACTTAATATATTTTATGCCATGTTTAGTATATATGCAACCCAAAAATAATGATTTTTTTTTATGGGAATTTGGACTATTCAGTATGCCTGCTAGTTTATTCATAGTTTATAAATACAACCAGTTCAATATTGAGGATCCGGAAGAAGAAGATGAAGAATAAGTTTTCAGAGATTGCTTCCTTACTCTTCTCTTTTTCTATTAGAACTTAATATATTTTATGCCATGTTTAGTATATATGCAACCTGTTTAAATGAAAGAAAATTTCAACATGCGGTACCTGGGCAATGTATTTAGCAAAAATAAGGTCAGCCAAAAAAAAGGAAGCTTGCCATCCTTGTTTTAGGCTAAAAATTTCTAGAAGACCATCATTCACATGAGCCCCAACAAAGCCTCTCTGTAAAACAAAGAAACAATTTCAAAAACACCACTTTTAGCTTGAGATTTGACATAGTTTCTTTCTAAGAGTACATTAAGCAGTCAGTATAAGTTCCTATCCTAATTATCATCAAATAAAAACAAAATAACAAGCACATATGATCTTATACAAAAAAATAAAAATAAAAAGTGCAATGCATAGTTGCTCATGCAGCATAAAGACACCCAATAGAGAAGAATAAGAAGAGAACAAACATGCCTCAAACCTAATATCTGAGAGGATATGTCTTTGGGAGCAACTAAAGGAAGTGTCTAAATGCATCCAGGGACCATGGTCATATTTTGAAGCATCATAGCCACATAAGAGAATTCGGGAAAAAAACAATTCTAAAATTGTAAGTTACGAGGACATTTGGGTTGTATAATGCTTTTAAAAAAATCATACTTCTAATCTGCAATCATTGGGGTATTTTATTTTTTTTGAGGGAATACATTGAATTATTATAGGGGAACTAGCCTCACGCCAACTGAAGGAGAAAAAAATTCTACTTTTCCATTCAAATGTTCTTATAGGTTTCAAAATAACATTTGACTTCTACTAAACACGTTGCATTGGTTTTATTTACCTATATATGCATAGCTACTATAAGATCTTGTCATTAACTTTGATATGGCCTGCCAAAAAGCAACTATAATGCATCATCATTATGCTGATAGATATGGCATTTTAGGTGGCCAAAAAATTATACCTTCTCCAGATACTCTGGCTTCAGATTACCCCATGGATTTCTTCCACTCGCATAGTTATTAAGATTTAAAGCAACTATTGACCTGACACTGAAAAGATAAAAACTATCAAGGTATATGAAATGAAAAAAATCCAAAACTAAAAAACTTGGAAAACTAACCATCCAAGAAATTAAAAATTAAAAAGAAAAAGAAGAAATAGTAATCGGCTAAATGTGTAATACTATGAAGATTTTACCAATGTAACTTTCAGAAAAAAAATCAAGACGGGAAATATTTAGGTGGAACCAATCCAATGAATAAGATATTTTAAATCTTGTCACAGGCACACACAAAAATGAATGTATATATATTTGTAGTCATAGAAAAGTATTTTAACAGTGATAGACAGGAACAAATCATCACTCTAATTGTTATACATGCAAAGCAACAAATAGTAACACTCTTGAAATCAACCTTGATGGAAGTGAAACTTGTTCCATTCTGAGCAATTGACCTTCTTAACATACATCCTTAATATGTTCTTGAGTCCCCTGCAATTACAATGTTGTTGAAGATGCAAGTGAGCAATGACGAGCTAGTCATTATTTTGAAAGATTAGGTTACGCAATCACAACATAGGGGAGGTAACTAACTGTACACAAGTAATATCACTACGCTTGAACAAAAGAACTATAACACGTGTTGTGTTTGTGTTTCAGCAGACAGATGGAAGTCGGCAGCGGTACTCTCCAAAATCCAGACACAGAGTCATGGCCATAAATGCCTACATGAATTTACTAAATTAAACAATATAGTTACCATATGATTTCTTCAAAGTGAAAGTTGGGACATGAAACAAAGTGAAAAGTACTGTTGGTAATGCACTAGTGGAACCTTTAATAAGCAAAATCTAAAGAGTTCACTAAGTAAATTATTAGGCAAGGTAAAGCAAATGGTTGCCATAATTCAGTCATTTTATTGCCAGTATCCAGTGGTTCCCACAATTAACAAATCATGGATGCTCGACTTTGTATTTGAGAATTTACATTCACTCTATAAATTTGTTGTCAATCACCCCTACATCATCAACTGGAAGAGAATTTACATTCACTTTGGTCTTCTTTAGGATTCACTTGTAAGTCGTAACTTAAACTATTTTAAGGCCTTAATATTTAATTACCAACTTGAAAGAAGATGGAGAACATATTAGGTAGATAACGTTGAACAATTAAATTTATTATCACATTTAATTCAACCATATGATCTAATCTTAATTTCCAAATTCATGTAATCAAGGGGGGCTGGTCTAAGAAACAAACAATTCGAAAATCGTCATCCAACTATTCACGATCAAAATCTTGTTAATCCTCTTGAATTTTTTAAGGTTTCAAACATAGAATTTGATCAACAACCATGTATCAATTCACTGTAGCTTTGTGTGGTAGCAGATTGTACAGAAGGCATATTATGCAAAACAATTAAGGGAAGTGTCAATTATAATACAAAAACCTCCAAACCCTGACAGCAAGGTTTGTTTTGGATTGCTTGGATCATGTTTATTCTTTTAGTTTTAAAATTTTATTTCCCTGAAATTTTGACTGACAGAGGATAAACAATAAAATTTGCAACTTTTTTATTATTATTATTTATCAACAAATAAAGATTCCATTAAACTAAAATGTGGTATCAAAATGATCCAAAAACAGCACCCAAACCAACAGTACATAAATACAATAGAAATCCTTATCTACCAAATTAACCCTTTTTCGGATCCAAATTTGCCATCAGTTAGACTGTCACAATAGAAATCCTTGTCTATGGCCACTCTGTTTATTTTGGTAAAAAATATTTTTTTACTAATGAATGAAAACCCCCAGAAGAAGGTTTTTCAATACAATAGATTTGGGCTTTCAATACATACACAATGAGGGACCCAATATACATGCAAATACATACACAATTAATGGATTAAGGCTTTGAAACTAATGAGAGAGAAAGGAAAAAGAGGGGAAAATATATGAAACCACTAAAATCAAACCCATTTAGGATATCAAATCCACAAAACTTTACAAATCAAACCACTTCAACAAAATCCATTTTTCGAAATCAACACCAAATTAAGTAGAAGAAATCATAACAACCCTAGAGCACGATTGAGAAAGGGGAAAATAGAGAAAGGGAGACAGAGAGGGAGACAGAGTGACCGAGGTAGACGGAGCGAAAAACAGACCATGAGTAAGAGAGAGACAGATCGAGAGTGAGAGAATACCTATGAGGATACGGCGGTGGTGATCTACGGGCGGTGGTGGTGGCGAGCAGCACTAGTGGTGTGCGTTGAGGTGAGGTAAGGTGATGTAGGGTGAGGTTTGGTGGTCAAATCTGTGTGTGAGAAGAAGAACCGATATATATATATATATATATATAAGGAGCCAATATATTCATTTCCCTCTAAAATCTTTAGCAACTAAACTATTTATTTGGTGACAAAATTATTTTCTTACCAAAAGATAAAATTATTGACCACAAAAATAGTTTTCTCACTAAATGATATTAAAATATTAAAAATTATTGGTGACGAAAATATATTCGTCATTAATAATTTTATAATTGGTGACCAATTTTTTCCTCACCAAAAGTCTGAAAATTTTGGTACCATCTGAAAAATTATCGGGAAAATCTTTGGTGACAAAAAAAATATAAATAATGATGAAAAATAATTTCGTCACTTAATTTTTTTATTATGTATGTAGATTGGTAACGAAATTTTATTTTTGTCTCTAAAAATGGTACATTTGGAGACGAAATATTATTTTCTTCACTAAAAGGTACGTCATTCGTGACAAAATTTATTTTCGTCATTAGTTTTCGTCTCTAAAGACACTTTTTGTTATAGTGGCATATGTCAAGATAATCGCAAGTTGAATCGGTGCATCCAATGACAACGGGCTCTCCGTGGAGATATAAGGGGCAAACGACGAAGGCGGCAAACAGTTGAATCTTGGTGTGAAGCTTTGCTTGCATGGCTGGCTTGTTCTTGTGCTTCAGAGCTCTGAAACTAGGGTTTCGATACCAGAGAAAGAGAGAGAGAATATTGGAGGTGGCGGTGGCAATGGTCGGATCAGCGGCGGTGGAAGAGGCTTGTTGCTCGGCCTATTGAAAGTCTATGACGAGTTTGACCAGTCTTCGAACTCGAACTCGCCAGAGTAGGAGTAAAGAGAAAAATAAAGAGATCTAAAAGAGAAAGAGCCGAGGCGGCGGCCGTGACCTCCTTTTCGATCAGGTTATGCGGTCAAACTATGAGGAGAGAAAGAAATGGGGGGTTTGGTTTGATCTGTGTGTAGGGATGGCAATTTGAACCCAACCCAACAGGGATCCGGCCCCTAGACCCCGATTAGAGCGGTTTTTTCTCGAAAAATACCCCCGACAGGCCGGGGATGGTATTCGAAAATGAATTCCCGACAATTTTTGGGCTGGGGATGGTAATAGGTTCCCCGTCCCCATTTTCGTCCTGAACTAAAATTACTATTATATCCTCTCTCTCTGTCTCTCTCTCTATATATATATATGTGTGTGTGTGTGTGTGTGTATGTGTGTGTGAGAAATTACTATTATATTGCACGGATTATTTTGAGGAGATGAACCCATGGAATATATTTGAGAGATGCCTATTGATTTTAGAAGTTAACTTTGCTAATAATGTTGGTTGTGCATGCTACTTTGCAAAATTCACAAGTAGTTTTTTTTTTTTTTTTTTTTTTAAAGAAAAAAATGTGTGTGTGTGTGTGTGTGTGTTTTTTTTTTTTTTTTTTTGGTGGTGTGGGTGTTGTTTTGTATCTTGTTTGTCATGTTGTAGTTGTTTGGATGTTTATGTTTGGACATTGCTGGATTATGGCTTTATATATATTATTTTTATTTGCCTAAAAAAAACAAAAAATAAAATGGGATATGCAAAATAAAAAATAAAAGGGTTAGAGATTTTTTTGAGGTCAAGGAAACCTGATCCCCGTTAGGGGGCGCGGATAAGGGGGTTGATGGGTTCCCCACCGGGGGATCGAGGGCCGGGGATAAGGAATTTTATACCTTTAGGGATCGGGGCTGGAGAGTGTAATCCTCGGCCCCGCCCTGACCCATTACCATTCCTCCCAGTGCACCATGTATGCCATATATGTACTAAGTGGTTTGGTCATTTTGCAGAAACTTGTCATTATAGACCAGGTATTTTAGAGTGTGGATCTCTAGGTATAAAAAATTCAAAATTGGATTTATGGAGCGAATGCCCTTAATTTTTAAAAAATAGACCCTTCATTGTTTAAAAAAAAAATACAATAAAATAAAAAAAAATTACGATTATTAGATCAACCTAATTTCGTATTTTTATTTTGTGGATGATACATATTGAAAGTCATACAAAATTGATGATTCAGATTATCGAAATAGGACCCATAATGCCCTACGTATCTCTTAAACTCTCTTAGGTTGAGATGTAAATATAAGAGAAGTTTAATATTAATTAATAATATTTTATTTCATTAAATGGGTCTTAACACTTATTTATTTTAAATAATCCACCAAAAATATATAATTATTAAATAAATTTAATTAAATAACAGGTTAAAAATAAAAAAATTACTAAACTCAAAATTTTAATATAGTATTAAATACAAATTAACAAATTAAAAATAAAGTGTTACAAAACTCAAAATAAATTAATACACCATTAAATAAACCTTCATATTTGTCCAAATAACACCTATTAACATTAGTCATATTTTATTTAAGGGTCTTGCTAACAAGTGACTCTAAGGTACAAGTAAAAAAAAATGTAAAATACAATACACTTTTCGCTAATTTCAATACACTTTTATTGAATTCAAAGCACTTTTTAATAATTTTCCATATTTTCAAGGTACTTTTTACATATTTCTCAATATTAAACAATGTTTAAAGGGAAACATTCCCATATCCTACATGGTATGTTTTTACAATTGTTGGTTACATGCCCACTATTTCTTATTTTTTCTCCTATGTATTACATAAAACAATCAATAAAATTAAAAGGGCATATAACCTAATTGAAATTTTTGGAAGACATAATAATTTCTCGCCTAAGAGACACTTGTTAGCGGAAAAGTATACAATAAGACCGGAATATTATGTGATCATACTCCCTCACCTATTACCATTCATTATACCATTCATTTTTCTTAATCACTTAACATATATAATTAATATTACATCTTTTCTATGAATTATATTTGTTGGCTACATATTTTGTACAAGCCGATTACAATTCGACGTGTGGCAGAATAAGGGTAATACAAGAAGACTATTCAAGTCTTCGATCCTGATCGTACACGTGGCAGTTAGTATTGGTTATTATGAGATCTGAGTAGCAGTTGATCAACAAAGAGATGCAAGGTGATGTGGCTTCAACGGTTACTCACATTTAAATTCAAATTTAGGAGGAAAGCCTAACTGCAAGTGATGGCACAGTGGGGCTAATTATAAGGCAATATGATCAGCGATCATGGAGGAGCAGTTCGACGGTTGGAAATACAAAGCAATGGTCATCCTCGAGAAGTATAAATAGCAGAGAAGGCCCAGAAAAAGTGGCCCAGACTCAGATAAAAAAAACCAGTCTTATTATACTTATTTTCCTTTCCAGTTTTACATTTCCAGTCTTTCATTTTCCTGTACTTTAAATTCCTGCACTGCGCGTCGTTCATAGGAATAGTTTCAAGTAGATTGTTGTTGTAAACCTCTACGAGGCTGAGTTTGGATCATTGTAAGTTTTTCATTTTAATGAAATACTTCAACTGTTCTTCATTTAATTGTTATTTTGCTTAATTCTCCTAAATCAAGCCACCAGTAAAAGTCCTCTTCATTGAGGCTGAAAGAACTAAAACACAATCGTCT